TTAGTTGAGTGCCATCGCGCAGGACTGCATCGCGCAGGACTGCACTGCAACACACCAAATTTTCCGCTTCAACATTGAACTTCAACTTGAACCCAGCCACAACACCTTACACGAGCCCGATGTCGTTCTCCTTGTCGTGGTCGCCGGGCTCGAACGGGGTCGCGCCTTCGACGACGGTGACGTCGCTGGGGCCGAGGTCGGTGTACATGGGCCCCATGAACTTGGCGCTGACCGCCTCCCCGCTCCGCTCCGCCTGGTCCTTCAGCTTCTGCGCGAGCTCGTAGGCGAAGGCCTCGGGGTCGCGCGCCGTCGCGTCGTCCTCGTCCTCGTCGTCGTCGTCGACGTCGTAGCCCGGCGCGCGGCGGTCGAAGGCGCAGGAGAGCGAGAACCGCGGCCGCTTCGTGCACGGCCGGTCCTCGACGGGCACGGTCCGCGCGAGGTAGACGACGAGCCGCCCGGGCAGGGGCAGCACGTGGTGGGCCGCGCCGGCGTCGTCGTGCACGACGAGCGTGCCGCCGTCGGCGTGGGACCAGTCCCGCGGGTTGACGAAGAGCGTCGCGATTATCTCGCGGTCGTCGGCGTCGTCGTAGGGCGACCAGTCCTCGCGCTTCGCGCGGGCCGACCCGTCGGGCGCGTAGGCGGCGAGGCGGACGGCGTCGGGCACGGCCAGCGCGTCGTCGAGCTCCAGGCCCCGCTCGAGCTCGTAGGCGACGCCGACGACGGCCTGCACCGCCGCGCGGTACGCCATCGCGGCCTCGTCGTCGGGCTCGTGGCGCTCGAAGACGTCGAAGAGCGACGCGTCGAGCGCCGCGATGGTCGGCAGGCCCAGGGCCACGGGCAGGGGCGCCTCGGCCGCGCCGTCGTCGCCGCGCGCGGGCCGCAGGCCCCCGCGGGCCAAAGCGCGGGACGCGTGGTCGTAGATCGCGTCCGCGTCCTCCTTCGCCAGGACGTCGTCGAGGACGCAGAAGCCCCGCGCCTTGAGCGACGCGAGGGCCTCCCGGCCGGGCCCGAGCTTGAAGGCCGTGCGCGCGAGGACGGTCTCGAAGGGCGTGTGGAGCACCTTGTCCTCGCGTTTTTTTTCGCCGGGTTCGTCGCTCGCCGCGGCGCTCGCGACGATGCGCTCGGCGATGCGCGTCTCCGCGTCCTCGAGCGTGCGCAGCATGACGTTGACCAGGTCCTCGCCGGGCCCCGCGGCGCGGAACGCGCCCGTGTCCTCGAGCTCGTCGACGCCGCCCGCGCTCCCGAGGAGCGCGCGCGCGAGCCGCAGCTGCTTCTTCGCCTCCGTGCGCGCGACGGTCCCCGCGGCGCTCCGCGCCGACGCCGCGTCCGTCGCCGCGCGCCGCGCGCGCGCCGCGCGCACGCGCGCGACGACGGCCGCGTCCGGCGCGCCCTCGGCGATCAAGGGCAGCACCGCGGCCTGGCCGCCCGCGCCGTGCTTCACGAGCGCGTCCTGGAGCGACGCGACCGTCGCGCCGGGCGCCATGCCGAGCCCGGCGGCGATGGCCGCCACGTCCGTCGTCGCGCTGTGCTCCAGGGCCAGGGCCCGGCTCAGCGCCGTCGCACTCGCCGTGCCGTCTTTGGCGCCGACGCGCGCCACGGGGTCGACCGTGGCCTCGGGCGCCGCGGGGGCCGCCATGAGCGGCGCGTCGTCGTCGGAATCCACGATGTTGTCCCAGCGCGAGTAGTCGAAGAGGGCCGCCATGCTGCCCGAGAGTTTGCTTGAAAATGCAACCCGGTCAAACATTGCCCTGTCCGCGAATCCGGCAAGCATCCGGCAAGCAAAAACCGAGGCTGGGTGCTTGGTGCGGCTTGTCGCACGAAAGTAGGCACCCGTGGGAGCAGCGCATCGACACGGGAGATCACCCCACCGCCCCGCGTCGTCCGATGGCGAGCATCGACGCGACGGCCGCCGCGAGCAAGACGGTCCAACGCGATGTGTGCATCGTCAACCTCGTGCTGTCCGGCGCGGAGGACGACGTGCGCGCGTGGCTGGGGACGCCGGACGGCGACGCGAACCTCGTCGTCGAGCTCAACGGCATCTCCATCTGCCTCGCGGCGCTGGCCATGTACCGCGGCGCGTCGGTCATGCGCGTCCTGCTGCAGGACGGCGCGGACCCGGACGCCGTCGCCATGGGCCAGCGGCTGTTGGTGACGGCGATCCAGCAGGATCTGAACGAGGTCGTCGAGCTGCTGCTCGAGTTCGGCGCGTCGGTGGCGCCGCCCGCGGGCGCGGGCATGAGCCCGCTGCGCCTCGCGGCGTTCAAGCACAAGGTCGACACCGTGCGGCTGCTGCTGCGCCACGGCGCGCGGCCCGACGACGTCGTCTCCGGCGTCATCAAGTCGGGCCCGCCGAACCTGCTCGCGATCCTGCTCCGCGCGGGCGCGGACCCGAACGTGCTCCCGAACTCGCCCTTCCCGCCGCTCTTCTACGCGGCGTCGCTCTCCGACGACCGGAGCGAGGTCGTGCGCGTGCTGCTGCGCTACGGCGCGCGCGTCGACATGACGCGCCACGGCGCCACCGCCGAGGACGCGGCGCGCCACCTCGGCGGCCACGCGAACTCGATCAACCTGCTCTCGGACGTGCTCGCCGCGGGCAGCTGGCGCGCGCACGTGCGCGAGCCCTGCGTCCAGCTCCTGCTCCTCCGCGTCCTCTGCCAGCGCGGCCGCGCGTCCGCGCCGCGGGGGCCGCTGAAGCGCCTCTTCTCGGCGAGCTTCCGGAATTCGGGCGCGAAGCGCGCGGCGCGCGGCGCGTCGCTGCCGGACCCGCTCTTCTGGCACGTCCTCACCTTCTGGCGCTCGAGCCGCGAGGTCGGGTGATGCGTCCTAAGCGTATTTTTTTGGCGACTGGGTATGTATAGAAATACGGGGGGATGCGAAGGGCCGCGCGCGTGTCGCGGGCGGGCGAGTCTTGTGCTTGGGGGCTTGCCTAGTAGCGGCCGCCGCCGCCGTAGCCGTGGTCGCGGTCGTCGTAGCCGCCGCCGCCGCCGCCGTAGCCGCCGCCGCCGCCGCCGTAGCCGCCGCCGCCGCCGCCGTAGCCGCCGCCGCCGCCGCCGCCGCCCTCGTCGTGGGAGAAGCGGCAGCTAGAGCCGCGCGTGCAGCGGCCCTTCTGGAAGTCGAAGCAGATCTGGGTGCTGCCGCCGCCGCCGCCGTAGCCGCCGCCGCCGTAGCCGCCGCCGCCGCCGTAGCCGCCGCCGCCGCCGTAGCCGCCGCCGCCGCCGCCGCCGTCCTGCGCCGTGATGCCGCCCGTGACTTGCTCCGCGCGGTCTTTGCCTGTAGATCGCGCGGGGTCAGCGGCCCGTTGGCCCCGAACCGTTCCCGAGGGCACGGACCTGGCTCAGGCTTTGCGGGCGTTTGGGGCGAAAGCGCGTCTCGACCCGTCGCGCGTCTCGTCCCGTCTCGGCCCGAGCCGTGCGCGTCGCGTTCCGCGCGCCGTCTCGTCCGGCCCAGAGCCCGCGCGTCCGCGCGTCCGTCCGGTTCCGACCAAAGCCCACTCCACAACACGTCTAGGATCGGCAGGTCACGGGATAGCTACCGCGGCGCTCGTCGAAGACCTTGACGAAGTGGACCGTCGCGCCCTCGGAGAGCGCGTTGCCGTCCGTGATCTGCGACACGTGGCAGAAGAGGTCGTCGCCGCCGTCGTCGGGCTTGATGAAGCCGAAGCCGCGCTCGTTCCAGCGGCACGCGACGCCCGAGGCCTTGCCGTAGCCGCCGCCGCCGCCGCCGCGGTCGTCGCGGCCGCGCGAGCGGCTGCGGCTGCGGTCGCGGCGGGAGCGCTCGCGGTCGCGGCTGTCGGAGCGGTCGCGGCGGGAGCGCTCGCGGTCCGGCGAGCGGGAGCGCTTCGCGGGCGAACGGGAGCGGCTGCGGGACTTGCGGTCGGGGGAGCCCATGATTCTTGTTGCCTACGCCGTGAGCGTGATCCCGCGCGACGGCGCGCGCGAGTGGGAGGGCCGTTCTGGGCCTGCGGACGCGGCAGCGGACGACAGACGGCGGCAGGCGAGATGGCGAATGGTTAATGATCCCGCCTCGGCGGTGCCGGCATCGTGCCGTGTGCCGCTCGAGGATCTCGACCTCGAGCGAGGAGGCACGTCGCCGCAGCGTCGCGCACCACCACCGCA